AGCGAAGTGTATCGCCACTTTTACTTTAGAACGTCGGCTAAACAAGAAAGAGGGCCATGACATGGAAATGGTGTTAGTCATTTGTATTGGAATTATAGATAACCAATCTTGAAATATTTGGTAAGTATATACTTCGATTCGCGCAAAATGAAATAGTTAAATCGTAGGATTCTCAGCATAGCCACTTAAAACGAATCAGATTAGGATTACGAGATTGAGCCGGTTTTGAAAGTTCAGCGTTACTAAATTCTGAAGTTCGTTACTAGTGACTTTTTGGGCGACTTTAAAAAAAAAAAAAAAAATCTGGGCTACTAATAAAAACAAAGTCAATTCAAAATTTAGCAGTACTGGGCTTTCAAAGTCAGTCACTAATGTGCCATGCGTGATACACGATTAGGCGATCACTATTTTTCGATGCATGACTGACGAGGCAGATTTTTTTCCGCAGTAGGTTGTCATTTCTTTCTGCATTAGATCAGTTACAATCCAAGGCTATAGAACCCGGTCTGTCCTGCTATTTACCTATAGCTGGGGGAGAATAGGATTCATACCTTTCCCCAAGGATATTAGCACGTAAGTGAATGTAATGGATTCGATTGTAATTCGAACGTGGATTTCAGAACTTGTCCAATTTTGCAACCTCAAGTCTGACCAGTCGGGGTCTAATATTAAAAACAATGTTGAGGTTCTGTAGTGAATGGAATAATAACCGGATCTCGACCTCATCAAGAACTTCTAGTAAAAAGTTAAAACTGTCATCTAACCTAATAAACCTACAAATACAAGTAATGGTAGAATGCTGGAAAAAAAAGTTCTGATTAGAAACAGGAAAGACTATAATTGCAACGACATCCCGTAGATGCGATGCTGTATTTGAAAAAAATCGGTTACCGTAATTGGAATGAATCTTTGGTGTTAAGTTTTTTTATTTGTTTATGTATATTTGTTATAGAAGAAAAGCGACAATCAATTGGTGTGTTCGAAAACTAAACACGGGAAGTTTTTTTAATTTTATTTAATATTTTTTACGCAAATAAACATTGGCGACGAGTCTAAGCCTAGTAATAAGTGTTTTGAGTAGAGGGGGGCTGAACGCTAAAATTAGTTCACTTAATTTTCAAGGAGTAGTTCCCAACTCTACATTGGCGACAGATTTGACGGGGAATAAATCATTCACATTAAAATGCATTTCAATTAACCAAAAATACTTATATTTGTATATGGTTTAAAGAATATTAAAGAAATTACATATGGAAATAATCTCATTAAAATATTAAGCTAATATGATAATCCTCCAAATTAAGTGTCGCTACTGTAAATTCAAATAATGTTATGTTTCATCATGGTCTGATGATTGCTGAAGGCGTGAAACTGCTAGTCACCATGACGTACTGATTTCTATATCCACATTGTTTTATGTCTAAAAATGCTTTATACTCGGCATATACTCTTTCCCCGTGAATATAGAAAATCCTAAGGACGCAGGTTCGAATCCTGCCGAAGAGCGCATATATTTTTTTTTTTTTCAATAAGATTTTTCGAATATTGAGACCAGTAGACGAAAATAAATATACTGTTTAATAAATAAATGGTGCGTCTATTCAGATATGAGTATCTACTAAAAATAACGTTTAAAGTGATAACAGTGTGACAGTCCATCAACTTACTAGTCTACACACCAACAGACAGGTTCACTGGCGAAAGACTGGTTATCTGTATTTTTTTTAATGAGTTTATTACTGTCACTCTACACATTGACGATCATTGGGTCATGTCCGCTCTAGCATAAACCTGTGAGTAATCATGCTGTTCGTGTTCGCCAATGGTGACAAAGAACTATATGGGAAAACGTTATGTAAATATTATATATAGAGAGAACAATTTTAAGAAAATCTATGACAAAATGGAAATTGGGTCGCTTTGTCCTTTTACGACTTCATCAGATTAAAGTGATGTTTACATTGATGCGACTACGCATGCGCACGAAAGAGAGGGGACGTTGAAATTTGAAATTATTATTTTTTTCTTTTTAAATGTCTTTGTTATCTAGTCTAGTTGATTTCATTTAGTTTCTTACTGTTTTTATCACTTTTGTTATTAAATATCTCGTATTGTGAGATTAGAGCTGACAAAAGTTAAATATAAGAATCTGGACGTAAATTTACCGTTGGTGATCTCGCGATTAAAGCACTTTCTATATATTTTCGTCTTAGTAAGTTGCTTTCTCTTCTAATTAAAGCAGCAGTTTTAAAATCAAAATTATGTTCACGCATTACGGTAAGTAAGCAATGCATTAACCGTGTTTTGTAAAAGATCCTTCTTGTGTTCATATAACCTAATTTAAATTCCTTGAGGTTTCTCCTATGTATTCCTTGTGGTAATTATTACAATAGAGTAAATTCTTCAAAGTTTTAGCCTCTGATTTTGTTTTGTATTAAGTATTGTAACGAATTTTATGTCAAGTTTAGATAAATTCTGTTCAATTTGTAGTTGTGATAGTGGATAGAACAATATATTTTGGTTCGTTGGGTTTGTCAGCAATGCCTGCTTCTCTATTTTTTAATATTTTACGAGCCTTTTGTCTCGTGTTGAATATGAAATAGTTAGGGTATTGAAGAAGAAACGTGCATTTCTCCAGTAGCCTAATCATTTAATTAAAAAAAAAAAAAAATAAACGTCCCCTCTTCGGTAAAGTTTAACATTTGTACCCCCCACCCCCCCAAAAAAAAAAACTGTCAAAAGGACACAAACCTAAACGTATGAAACTGGATTCATGCGTTCTATTCTTTTTTTCTTTTTTTTCTCTCGAGAATCGACAACAAAAGAATTAAACATTATTCTATATTAGAATGTTTATTTACACGAATCCTATTATATTTACAAGTTTATAAAAAGATATGAAATAACGAAAAAACGATATTTGTTATTTATCATATTATAAAGATATAACAATGAAAAATTTTTTAATCTTAAATTTAAAAAATCATCCTCTTCCTGAATTTTGCTTCTTGAATAATGACTCCGTGTATACTTCCAAAAACATCAGTGTATGTCTCAACTGTCATATGATATCATCTGGAATTAGCCATAGGCTCCACATACTGCACTACCTTCGCGTTGTTGATGTATAAATCTGTGAGGACAGTTTCAGCAGTAGATACTTAATCTTTATGTACAGGGCCGGTGCAAGGGTTTCGTGCCCCAAAATTTACTATACGCCTCCTTGAATCTTTGATACGGTCTCCACCACTTTACTATATCTCAACTTTCATAAGGTAGTTTTCATATAAAATACAGATTTTATTGTAACCTAATTATGTACAGTAATGAATCATATGCAGTATAGGTGAACGATTCGACTAGAAAAATTGAAATTAAATGCAATGTACCAAAAAAGATATATCATAATAAATGATTCCATCAATGTTTTGCAGTAATTTTTAACATCAACGTTTTGTTGAAAAGTTTAAGACAACATCAACTTTTTGTTGAAATTTTAAGACGTTCAACATTAAGGATAAAAATAGTGAATTTTATATATATATATTTTTTTTTGCGCGCGACTTAGCATGAGCCAAAGAAATTCACAGATTTGAACAACAACAAAAAAAAGAAGACACTAGAATGACGTCAAAATAAGCGAAAAAATTTCATCCTTTAATAGTTGTGCTTACTTTAATTTGTAACGTATATAAATGTAATTTCAAAAAAAAAAAAAAAAAAGCAAACGTTGATAGTGAGGGTCACAAAGGACTGCCTGTGGGCCTCCAATCAGGGTTCGGGGGTAGTAGGTATCGGCGATGTTTGTGTTGCACGTTTCATTCAATTTTCCTTACGGATGTGTTTTTTAAAGGAAACTTTTTGTAACATCTGGAAGTATTAGACCTTAAATCAGCTTTGTAACCCTTTTTTTATAACTGCAGGCTATCAATGGTCATGTATATTTTGTCGACATATTTCTTTTTTCTTTCTTTCTTTCAATACCTACTCACGGCCACAACGCTTAAAAATGTCATCATAGCTTAACGGAGAGATTTTGTTTTTAAACTTCTCTCACAGATCGTTGGCTAATCATTTTTACAGTTTCCAACGTTGTTTTATCTTTTGTAATCCCTGAGAAAACGTTTCTCTTTATCCGCCATATTAGTCTCATGATCCATGTAAAGCTTTAAATTCGCAATGTTGTTATTAATTGGAAACTTCAAAATTCATACAAATGGCTGCATTGCGCAGATAGATGCCGCCATCATTCAGCAGAAAATTCTTTATATCCCAATAAGTTTTTATTTTCTATATCTATAAAATATGAAGTGACTAATGAGACGCGTTGTACATTTGTATGAGATAAAGAATTTTACATTTTAAACGATTAATTCGTTTTCTACGGTTTATCAACCCTTTGCAATGTTATTTAAAGCCAGAGAATAATTTTTAGATTGTAAGAATTTTTTAATTTTATTTATTTATTTTTATGAGATAATGGTTTTAGAGATACAAGTCTTACTAATTAACCCATAGCTGATGGAGAGGAGAGGTTCATGCCTTTCTCAAGGGTATTTGCGTGAAGTCGTTATAACGAACCCCAATGGAGATTGGGACTGCTTTCCGATTAACAAGCCATTATTCATTACACTACCCGCACAGCCAAGCTTACAGCACCTGGTATTCCCAAGCGGTCACCCATCTCGGTATTGATCAGGTTCGACGTTGCTTAACTTTAGCGATCGTGCAGGGACCGTCATTTCAACGTGATGTGGTGATAAGCATTAAAAGTAAGGATATACAAAGAAAGCTAAGAAATTAAAAGTAATATATTAGAAAATTTAAATTTTTTTTTTACTTATGAGATAATCCTTTGTTATGGTAACATAAATGTTTACATATTGGCGTCGAATAATGTATTCTGTAGACAACTGAATATCTTACACAAAGGGGAAAATCAAGTTGCGTGACTGACAAATGTATAAAGTTACATTGTACTTTATATTGTATGATATTGTATGATATCTCATTCAATTAATCGTGTCTCAACTGGTGCAAGTACCGTCTCTTGCAAAAAGAGATTCGCTATCAAAATAGAAGAATTTGTAGACTTTTGGTTTTGGCGCTGTAAACATACTATTTTTATTTTTAATAGAGATATGAATTAGAATTTGTAACATATATTCGAATGTTCAGGCACCTCGGCGTGGTGTAATGGTTAGCAAGCTTGTCTCGCTGAAACAGTTACGAATAAATAGTGCGTTCTATCCTCACTGAGTGCCCCATGCTTTCGGCCTTGTGCCATATCTAATCTATGCTTTGAAAATCATTATAGACTTCGAATGATCAGAAATAAGTCGTCGGTGATGGTTTTCTGGTTTCATTAAAAATTTCGTGTTTTTTAACGACTCTTCCCGCTTATCTCGGTTGTCGGGTGCTACGTATTTTTCGAATGTGTTTCTTTTAACGTGTTTCCCCATACTTTGGCGGGCTTTCCCCCCACTCCACACACACTTTGACGGACTCCTCCCCACACTTTGGCAGGCTTCCACACCCCCCACACACTTTGGTGGGCTTTTTTTTCTTTCCCCCTCTTTGGCGGGCTTTTTTTTTTCTTTCCCCTCTTTGGCGGGCTTTTTTTTTTCTTTCCCCTCTTTGGCGGGCTTTTTTTTCTTTCCCCTCTTTGGCGGGCTTTTTTTTCTTTCCCCCTTTTTTTTTTGGCGGGCTTTTTTTTCTTTCCCCTTTTGGCGGGCTTTTTTTTTTCCCCTCTTTGGCGGGCTTTTTTTTTCTTTCCCCCTCTTTGGCGGGCTTTTTTTTTCTTTCCCCCTCTTTGGCGGGCTTTTTTTTTCTTTCCCCCTCTTTGGCGGGCTTTTTTTTTTTTTCTTGGCGGGCTTTTTTTTTCTTTCCCCCTCTTTGGCGGGCTTTTTTTTTCTTTCCCCCTCTTTGGCGGGCTTTTTTTTTTTCCTCTTTGGCGGGCTTTTTTTTCCCCCCTTTTGGGGGCTTTTTTTTTTCCCCCTCTTTGGCGGGCTTTTTTTTTTCCCCTCTTTGGCGGGCTTTTTTTCTTTCCCCCTTTGGCGGGCTTTTTTTTCTTTCCCCCTCTTTGGCGGGCTTTTTTTTTTCCCCCTCTTTTCCCCCCTCTTTGGCGGGCTTTTTTTCTTTCCCCTCTTTGGCGGGCTTTTTTTTCTTTCCCCCCTCTTTGGCGGGCTTTTTTTCCCCCTTTGGCGGGCTTTTTTTTTCTTTCCCCCTCTTTGGCGGGCTTAGTTGGCATTTTACAATCATCAACCGGTTGTGATTTTTGAATTTGAAGTACTTGTGTGTAAGGAACTGTTTCTATTCTCTCTTTTTCTCTCGTTGCCGTCTCCCTCTCTCGCATACATGTATACATCCATACATACACACAAGGGACTACGGTATTTACCTCACCACAGTGCTACGATGCACCACGTGGTCGGTTTAACGTTGGCTTCCCATACGCGTACATGTAAGCCAAAGATAAAAATTGTCGTCTTAGCGACCACAGTCATACTAGCGTTTGGTAACCACCAACACCCCCACAATAAGAGAAGCGCTGCTACTTAGCGGGAATCCCAGGGACTTAGCTTCCATCATTTAAAAAAAATAATTAAAAAAAAATAACTGAATTGCCCGAAAGCAGAAATAAGACAGATACTACACTCTTTATTTGCTCGTCGTCGCATGGTGACTGGATATAACAAAAGGCCGGTTAAAAATGGGGAACCCAAATGCATGGAGCTAGGCTAAGGCCCCAAATTTCCCAGTTCCCACTACCAACGTCGCGCTGGCGTCGATATTCCACCGACCTTCCCTCTTTCTGGTAATAAAGGAGGTGCTGTCGCTGGGTTGGAATCCCCGGGACCAGGGATCCCTCATTTGTTGTGTTTCCGTCCCAAGAAAGAAACACAATTTAGACATAAAGTGCAGTTTGTCCGCCCGAAGGCGGATTGTATTTACTTTTCGCCCCCATGCTAGCAGGATGTGACACAAGGTCATTTCAATGTAGAGAGCTCTAACGCGTGGACCCGGACGAGGTCCCCAAAATAGCCCAGCCTCCAACAACCGCCGGTTGCGCTGGCGTCGGTATTACTACCGATCCACCACTCCGCTTTAGTGCAACGAGGGAGGTACTGCTGTTTCCCGGGGGCGGACACCTTCCAATAATATTTTTAGTTGCGCTCTGTTCAAAGAGAGAAACACTACTGAGAAATAACATTTAGTTTATCCGCCCGAGGACAGGTACTACACTTTGATCTTAGACCAGGGATAGGGGCGCTAAAAAACGTTCTCTGCTGAACAAATGACACAGAATTTTTTTTTTTTTTGAATCCTTCTTGGTCGGAGCGAAAACTTTTCAACACCCTTGTGTGTGTGTGTTTGCGTTCCTTGTATCGTATGTCAAATTACTGCTTAACCGAGTTAGACGAATCAGAACTTAGTCCCGAGGTGAGATCGTGTTTTGATAACACTGCAAATATAATCGGCGCAAAGTTATTGAACCTCTGTGCATGTTTCATTATAAAAAAAAAATCTGTATAGCGAAAACATCTGCTTCGAGAATTTCTCATCAACATTCTTACAAATATAATGAGGATAAATGAAAAATTTCTGATGCAATTGCGTGTCTGTCTGTGTGTCCTGGTATTAATCTTTCTTTTGAATTATACAGACGCATACATTTATTGAAACAGACTTTGTAATCAGTGTCTGCAGCTAGTTGATCCGGGGGTGGGTGGTAAGCATTTATTTTGAAACGAAAAATACTTTTTTTTTATTTTTATTTTTTTATTATTATTATTAATTTAATCTCCTTTCTTGTCAATGTACTTAAGCCAATTCTTCTTCGGCAATCACATTGATCGAACATTATACAGTGAAAATTTCAGATTGTATCTCTATTGCGTTACGCACTTATTGATCCACTCTCATAAATGTGTAATACATTTTTCTTTTTGTATTGATTGATTTTATTTTATTTTTTTTACGGTTTATCAACACTTTGAGATATTTAAAGCCAAAACATATTTTGGATTGTAAGAATAATTATTTTTTTTATTTTAATTATTAATTTATTATATTGCATTGACAACTTTTAGGAGATAATGATTTTTCCAGATACAAATCCGACTATTTAATCAATAGCTGGGGATGAGATGGATTCATATTTTTCTCAAGGGTATTTGCACGTAAGTGAATGGGACTAACTCTACTGGAATTCGAACTCTGCTCTTTGATTTTTCATTCCGATGTGCTACCCCTATTGCACCACCCGCACACCCTCGACTTTTGAAATTCATAAAATATTAATATTGAACGTACTCCATCCAGTTTATTCAAAATGCAAGAGCACAGAATGAAGAAAATTACTCTTGCCACTTCGAATAAACAGGAAGGGGTATGCTTAATCTTCTTCCTAAAATTAAGACTCTTCACGTTTTTCGAACCTCCTCACCCCCTTTTCCGTTTAGTCAAGAGAAATAATTTATTGAAATAAGAAAATTCGGATTAGCCTTCTATGCAAACCCGCTAAACGATATTAGATATGTGACGTATAAGTTACGAATATTTTAAACTTAAGCCATTATAATTCCATATTTGAGACGGGCTTTCCTCTCTTCCACTTTGCTACTTGTTGATCGAAACCCATTTTTGCCTAAAGTCAGGTTTTTGGAGCACTAGCATCGAAGACTAATTCGCTCTTTCTACTGTTCTTCAGTATATATTCTATTTCTTTCAATCTACGCACTCTATAAAATAAAAAAAAAAGTAACAATGATTTTTGGAGGCCTACAAGCCTCCAAAAATCATTGTTACTTTTATTTATTTTTTTATTTTGGCACACTGTTCCACTCGAATTCATGCTGACACCCGAGTTACAGTACTCGAGCCTCCAATATTGGAACTCTTAAATTATAATCTCAGCGCATTGGGTTTAGAGTAATATTTAAGCATATATTTAAAAGTGTATATTAGAAAAATACAGTAATATCAATTACTATAAAGCCGATGTTTTTTTTTCCCCTGTATGTGCCTTAGGGTCGGTTAAACAGCTGGATTCTTGTTGTTTAAAATCAATCTCTAAATTAACGTTTAGTTTTTAATTTTTTTTAATCGGTTTCACCCCATACAAGACAGAAAAGCCAATAAGACACAAGGAGTTACTGGGTGTGGAAAAACTAGGAACAGAAACATTAATAATGAGCGGGAAGAGAAAAGAGTAATAAGGAGGACAGTAGATAGCGATTGACACTGCATTTACATTTTTGAAGATTAAAGTTGGTTGGAAAGCATGGAGCCGGAAGAGAGTTCCACAAGCGAGAAGTGCGAGAAAAGAAACTGTTAGCATAGAACTTACGGCTACATCTAGCCAGCTCAACTGTAAATTGTACTGCGCTTAAATTCAAAATGTCTAGGTACCATAGTGAAGAGCTCATCCGAACTATGAAGGCATTTATAGAAAAGACACAGATGTAACCTTACGGCGGTGGGAAAGTAGCTGAAGCCGAGCCGCCAGATCAGGACCAATAATATTACCGATTCTTCTTTAGATTTTATCAAGGAGCTCAAGGTAAATAGCAGGAACACAAGACCATATGTGGCGACAGTATTTTAAGTATGGACGAATTGTAGACATGTAAGATAGATTCTGGAGAGAAAAGTATCTCGCACGATACTTGAGTACTACTTATACACGTGATCATCACAGGTAAGTTTAGGGTCAGAATAGCAAAACTGCAAAAAGGGTTACCATTTTTATGTCACTCCAATCGTAAGCGTTCCGATATTTGGCGTCCATGTAACAAAAACAGGAAAAAAAAAAAAAAAAAAAAAGAAGAAAAAACGGAAAGACGCCAGCTGAGATGCTGGCGGCTAACGCCACGGCAAATGGAATCGGCAAGCAACGTTCAAACTCTGATAAAGATAATTTGTTAGTCTCGCAGTAATTCCCTTAGGCAAAGCACAAACAGGAATAAATGAACCGGCAAATCATTACGCTAATCTGCCTTGAATGTCACCATGAATCACAATCGTGAGATGGAGGGGAATGTTAACCATAGCGGTGTAAAATAACTGTAAAATGATGAAAAAAATCTCGGAAAATAAAATGAAAAAACTAGTATATATTTTGCATAAAATGCATTACATAACATCTTACACACACACATAGATATGCACCGCCACGAAAATGCTAAAAATCAGTAATGAAAACATAGTTTTTCATCAAACTTTTTTATTATTAAGAGATATGAGAGTATTTTTTTTTATTTATAAAGTTCTTAACTCTTAAAATTCATTTTGAATGTGATAACTCTTAGTAAATATAATGATTAATTAAACTATATTTACTAATCGTATATTGTAAAGCTTATTACAATATGACGACCCCGAATATTTTTAAAAGAATTTCGATTTGTTTTTGTATGTGTGATGTACGAACAGAATTTCAAACTATGGACGTGCAAACCCATGACCTTATCATTAAAAGGTCACATGTTTTAAGGGTTGTCCCCTCTTAACGAAAAAAATAACTTTCATGTGTAATTTATCATCTGCTCCACCATACTTAATTATGAACACGTTTGGTGTCGGAAAAACGAGACCCCGTGGTTAAGAAATGCTTGCATACAACAGGTTAGACCATAAGTAAGTAATATTTGTTTCAAATCAGATTAATTTAACTTTAAATGTGCTAATTTTCCTCGAATAGCGTTTCAGAATTATATATTTTTGCAAGATTTTTAAAACCGAGAATTAACTTTTGTTTAAGAATTTGTCGAAATGGCTAATTTTTATCGATTTTATTGAAAAAAAAAAAAAAAATCGACTCCGATCAATATAATTTCTGTTAGAAATATACCACAGAGTATTTTGCTTACTAGAAATAGTAAACTTTAAATCCTTTAGCTTTCAATTAAATGAAAGCTTCAAGAAAGCTTTTTCATTTTAAAAATTAATTTTAAACCTTACGTATACTGAAATAGTGGAGGTACCCCCATATATATATATATATATATATATATATATATATATATATATATATATATATATTTTTTCCTTACGAAATTAGCATCTAGGTCTCATTGTTTAACTGTCGAACTAGCAACTGCCACTTCTAATAGTTTCTTTTTTCGCCTTCCGATTCCTTGCTTCCGCTCGACCTACAATCTTGAAAAGCTTAAATGCAGTGGTAATTGCTATCTTCTGTATTCCTGAACCCTGTTCCTTTATTATCCTTACTCCTCCCTAAAGTCTTCTCTTTCGCTCCTTGCGTCCTAGCGGCATT